TTCTAGATTTTTTATTTTGCTAGCTCTAAAAATCTTGAAGAGAGTGAGGTGACAAGTCCTAATGGAAATGCTTTGAATCATCTTCATGATGTAGGATAATAGTGTATTATACTTCTGCTGTGCAGCTGCACATTTCCCTGAATCTCATACGTAATTCTCAAATTTGCTGATATTTAGGTGTCCGTGAAATTACTTTCAGGTTAATTTTGAGAGGCTGATTGACATTTTCTACAGGCAAGGCCGCTCTAAATTCTACCAGTGCTATGCCTAAAATTAATTTCAAGAATTAACTGAACTTAAGATAATGACATTTAGGAGAACCTGGGAGTGACTTATTCCAATGATCCTCTAGCAACATGAAAGTATTTGTGTGAGGTCAAGGAACTCCAAGAATAAAGTTGCTATACAGTGCGCTTTCCCTAGTGATAAATTTGTACCTTATAACGTGTTATAGACACAATTCAGGCACACCTGCCCTTGCTTTCGTCAGTTAAGAGTTGTCTGAAGTCCTGTCCTCATCGAGTTGTTAATATTTACAAAGAATCTGTGGGCTGATAAGCTTCTATGCTGCAGTCCAATATATGCCTTTTGCTGCTGGGTGTGTTGCTTGCTCTTCACGTTTTGTTACTCTCATTAACCACATCTTACTCCATCTCAGCTCTTACCTGCTTAGCAAGGGGCATAAGCTGGTTTTTGACAGTGGATGCAGGGAAACCCATTGACAAATGGTCCTAATTAGCACAGTTCTGTAAATCTCTGCCTGGCAGGGAGTGTTGTATCATTCCATTACAAGCTGTCAAGATGCACTTTCTGGGGGCATAAATATGTAACTCTTCTTTAATTTTCAGTAATGTGCTCTAGGCAGAGCATGCCACGATGGTCTGGCTTGGTTCCTTCGTGGATTTCTGGTGGGGGTTTTAGCAAGATGCCTGAAATCTCACTGTAACATCAGCAGGGTGTAGGAAGCTCCTGAGATTGGTCCTGTTTTGCTGCTGGATTTTCAAGTGGGAAGTCCTGTTGATAGTATGGTACATGATTAAATACTTTTAATCATGTTACCTGGTGGTTTTAGAGTCAAGCTCCCTCTCCATAGAGCTAGCACTGACGAGCAGGGCATGCTGGGGACAGCATCTTGCCCAATGTTTGATCATGTTGGGACAGAGAATTAATTATGGGCAGTACCAGGAGTGCAAGTTGAGGTTCAGTGTGAGTAGGCTCTGATGCAGATTTTCATTATTTCCATTTGCATTGCCCGGATTGATTCAAGTTTTGCTTTGTATCTGCCAGAGAGAAAACTCCTGTTTAAAGGGTGGAATAGGAAGGAAAGGGTCTGTCTGCTGCCTTTGTTTAATTCTTCTCCATAGTGGAAAAATACTTGAGTTGAGAGTTTCCTATATTCTCCTCCTGGGGAATAAACAAACCTTCTGCCAAAAAATGTTCAGTCCCATTGACTCTGGGCAGTTTATATATTGAAATTATGCCAAAAACCACCAGTCCAGAAACCCCCTCTGGTGCCGGGGTCAGATTAAATGCGAGTTGGGCCTCCCTGTCCCGACCTCCACGTCCTCCTCCTGGTGGGAACCCACCATAGACATGCCAGATAGAGCCCTGGGTGTTGGGCTGGCAGATAATGGGGATGGTGGGACATCTGGAGCCGGGGCTGTCTGCCCTGGGATTGCTCTATCATCTCGTGGTCCTTGTGAAACCAAACAGGAACAGGCCATCATTCAAAGCGCCGCTTCTGCTATCGGGAGTTGTCACCTCTGGGGAACAGCTGGGGCTCAGAGGGCTTGGGAAAGTGATCCTGAAGGTCAAGGGGAGACCTGCTTGGGGCAGATGAAGTGATAATGGACTCTCTGAAGGAGGGGGAGGACCCTTTGAGGCTTTTATTATCCCTGAAGCCGTGAATCATCCCTAATCCTGGGGCGTGCAGTCAGCAGATCCAGGCTGCTGCGTGCCAGCCTGCACTGTCTGAAGGCATCCAGCCTGCAAGGAGCTGTGCCCTGTCTCTCCCAGGTCTTTTACATTTTTCTAGGATTGTTTCATGCTTGATCTTACAATTATGCAGGGAGAAAAAAAAAATCCTCCTGTTGCTTCTCAGAGTTTCAGCCCTTATAAGTCCATTTGGATGGACTTCTCCCAGTGCTTGTGGATGGGATGGAGTCTGAACCTCAGGGTGTGAGGTTGGGTCCCGTGAGGAAGACAAGTCCCAGGAGCCAATTTTGCCTCATAAAATCAGTGTTACTGCGAGAAATTGGATGGGTTTGTAGGTTGGCAGAAGAGGAGAGGAGAGGAGGCCCAGCTCTGCTGTGAGCTGTCCCAGCCCTGTGGGCTCTGCCTGCTGACAGTGTGCAGCAGGGCTGTGGTTCTGGGTCACTGCTGCAGGGACGTGCCCCCTGTCATGGCACCAGCGTGGTGACAGCCCTTTGATCACTGCCTGCCCCAGCTCTGAGCCCACAGGCCCTGCTTGCAGCCAGCTCTGCTGGCCGGCCCTCAAAATTTAAATTCAGTGGTAGACATTTTCATATTGATGAGCTGCTACTCATCACTCAGGCTTAACTAGCACCCTCCTTTTGGCATTGATGAGGATAAAGTTGCTATTTAGCCAGATTTAGATAGTCAAGAGGCCCAAAAACCAAACAGAGAGGTGAAGGGCCCAAAAACCCAACAGGAATGCAAGTAGTGCTGTTGGAGGCTGCAAATGTTACAGAAGGTGGCATTTCAGAGCATGGGAGATGCAGCTGCCAGGATTTGTGGCATTTCTCAGTGATGGGGAGGCTCCTGGCTCTGTGATGGTTGGGGAAGGAGAGTTTGGGGCCTCTCCACCCGTGTGTAGTGGTGACAGCTGGGTGTCAGCTGTCCCCTGCTCTGCCCTGGCTCCCCAGCATCAGCCTCCTTATTTCCTCAGCCCTTAAAACCAGGTTACTAAATAAGGGTTTAATGACCACCCATTAAACCTCTGATTATGAATACGGGGCTGAGAATTGACATTTACAGAAACAGCCCTTTTGTTTGGCAAAAATGAGCTATTTTGTTAGTACTTCCTTCCAAAACCTCTCCTACTTCACTGTAGTTCTCTGCCAACTCTGCCTGCTAGAGCAGCCATTGTAGTGATAAATCAGGTTTAAAAATAGGAGGAAAATTGTGGTTTAAGTATCATAATTATCAATTATCCTGTGAATCCATGATTGAAGTTGGACAGGACCTTGGAGAGCCAAGCCATCCAGCTTTATGAGAGAGTTCAGGCCATGTTGTATTTTTTTTGTTGCTGTTTTTTGTTTTTGGGGTTTTTTGGATTGCGGTTTTTTTTTTTAATGTGTGTGTGTTTTTCAGGTTTTTTTGGTTGGTTGGTTTTGGGGTTTTTGTTGGGTTTTTGTGTGTGTGTGTTTTTGCGTTTTTTGGGTGGTTTTTTGGGTTTGATTTGTGGTTTTTTTGGGTTTTTTTTGTATTTTTGTTTTGTTTGGGGTTTTTTGGGGGGGGTTGTTTGGTTTTTTTTGGTTTTTTTTTGTTGTTGTTGTTGGGTTTTTTTGGTTTTGTTTTTTTGTTTGTTTGGTTTTTTTTTATTTTATTCTTTTCTGTGGTTTCTGAGGCCTCAGAAAAGCGTGCTCTGTGTCTGCATTTCCATGTGACCAACAAACCCCTGGTAATCCACCTTCTCTCTGCAAGCTGAGATGTCCTGCAGCCTTTTGATCCCATCAAAATAGGCCTGCAAGGGGTGAATAAAACTCAGCTTTTGTGAGCATTGCCTGCATTTGAGCGCTGGAAGGAGAGATCCGATTTTCTACCCAGCTGTCCCCGTTTGTGGCACTTGGGTGCTGGCCAGCTCGCAAAGAAAAATGGATATTCCTGGCAGAAGAGTGCAGCAAGCAGCACTCCTCGGTGCTAATTGACCCCTTCTTGGCAGCCTCATCAAAGACGCTGAAGAATAAATAGGCTGTTGGTTGAAGTGTTCCCCTGTCCCCAGAGGTGGTCCCCTTTACTCAGGGCTGGGGAAGAGCCTTGCACAGAGCCATTAGCCTGTGCTCCCGAGGAACAGAAAAACAAAACAAAACAACCTTTCATCTCCTGCGTTTTCCATGTGGCATCTGGGAGCTGGAGCTGTGGAAAAGGGGGGTTGCTGTGTCCTTCATGTGCAGAGCTCCATCCTCAGCGCCCATGGTAGCTCTGGTGGAAACTCTGACAGTTCAATCTGATGACAGGAGAGGTTGGGAGCAGAAAAAACACCTTCAAGGAAAGCCTGGGCAAAGTTGAGGCAGATGCTGATGGATGGGACTGGTGCATTCTTTGCATAGAAAAGTCGTGTTGGTGCTTGCTGGTGCTGAAGGCATGCAGAAATCCTGCCCAGATGGGGCGTGCAGGTTTCAGCTGATTAACTAATGGACCGTGTGAGGAGAAAATATGAACCATTTTACTGATGTCTGTAAATAGGTTTTAAATATTCTGCCAGGGTTCTGTAGTGACAAATTGCATTCATATACTTCAGACCTCCTGTATTTCATTTCAGGTTGGGCCTAGAGTCCAGAATATTTAATTTTTGTACAATGGGCAGTCCAGGAGTACTGTTTTCACTTAAAATGTACGAACTGAAACCCTTTGTTTTGGATCAGATCACTGTTAAATTTCTGTGATTTAACACATACCACACTGCTTCATGAAATGTATTGTTAAAGGCAGAGCAAAACTTAGCACTGCAAGCCTTACTTTTGGGCTCTCCTGCAGCTGTTTCAGGGCTCATTCTGCACTCAGCAAATAAAATGAGGGTGTGCAAAATAAATATTGATATGGTGGTGGCCTGAGCATCACGTGTGTGTATAATGAGCATGACACCATATCCATCACTGTCATGTGAGAGGACATCTCGAGTTACGTTGCTATGAAAGCCTGACATGGGGCTGCTCTCCACGTTTGTGAGCAGCAAATACAGCCCTTCCTTCTGCCCAAACTGGTGAGTCCATCTCTGATTCACTAGCACTGACTCTGGGCCGTTTTTTCTTTTTCAGTGATGAGAACACCAGAAAAGACTTGAAGACACTGCCTGTCTTTCCTACCAAGACACTGCAGGAGCATCCATCCCTTGCTTACTGGTGAGCTGTTTAATTTAAAATGTAAATCATTGCTGTGAATGATAATAAGAAGATCACTTTTAAGCAGTTTGCAAACTCCTCTAAAAGTTTTCAGCCCAGGACATGGAGCTGATTGCTCATGTTCAAGCATTTCCAGTTTTTAGAAGGATATAAATTATGCAAGATCTGATGGAAATTCCTCCTTGAAAGTTTGCTCATAATAAATTGCTGTGTCAGAAACTGCTGGATCAGAGTATGTGGGGACCCTGCAGTAGAAGGAGATGAATTCTGAACTCCAGCCAGGCCTGGGTTTGCAGAGGGCACCTCAGTTTTCTTCTGTCACACAGTGGAGCCCTTGTGGTGGGTGACCTTTGCTGGCTGCCAGCTGCCCACCCAGCTCCTCTGGACAGGACAGGGGAAGAAAATAATCTAGAAAGGCTGGAAAGAGAAAGACAGTTCCAATTCTGGGGCTTGAATTTGCTGTGGAAGGAACACAGCGTTTGGGATGAATCAGTGATATTGTTTCCTTGGAATTTATGCCCTTTGTGCAAATTCAACCTCCTCGTTTGTTTTGGTTTTTTAGGCTTGATGTGTACGTGATGGATTTTCAAGTGTACCATGCTTGCTTATTATTTGTTTGTCTCTGAATGAACACTGCTGGGTTTTTCTTTGCTTTCAAGTGTCTGACACAGAAATGCATATTTTATTTCGCATTCCTCCGAAACAAAAATGTTGAAATATGTAACAGGAAAAATGCAAAAAGGTCATTGCTGACAAATGCGTGGTTTTTTCCACCTATGAAATGTCAGGGGGAGAAAATAGATGGGAATGAAAGCAGCTCTGGTTGAACTTCTTCTGTCTTGCATATGGAGCATTAACCAGGCTTTGAAGTTTGGGTCCTTTAGAACATTAAGATGAATTTCCACAATTAGCACCATTCTTCTGCAGCAGCATCTGCAGCAGAACAGGTGGATCTGAAATGGTTTGTTAATGAGTCTGGAAGGCAGGATGTGATGGTGGGGACCAGCCAGGCAGCTCCACGCTGCCTAATGAAGGGTGGGAAAGAAATCTGCAAGAACCAGAATGTAAACCAGAGCAAGAAATGGGCAGGGGGACCCTTCTCTGCGTGCTGAGCAGGTGGCTGAGCTTCGGCACATGAACAAAGTCACTGAGCCTCTAAATTGGGTTTTGTGCTTGGTTTGCAGTGAGGACAGAGTAATTGAGCATTATACACAAATTAAAGGTCTGACCAGAGGACAAGCCATTGTTCAGTGAGTATGACACTTGTTAATTTGTGAAGATGGTATTTTTACTTTTCTCCTGTTCTTTTTTGGTTGAGAAATGGCAAGGCAGACTCTTTGGGTCATTATTGCCTGCAAATGATGTCGTTTGTATCTGTCAGATTCTCTTTTTATTGAGTTACATTGCAAAGTGGAATTATTTGAAGTCTCACATTTCACAGGCTTGCAGTTCAGAATTTGTGCAGTCATTTGGGTACCTCAAAGACAAAATAAATTATTTGGATCTTACTTTATTGGAAGACTCTTCTCCATACCTTGCTTGCCATCAATTAATTTTCACTCCAAACTCTTAAGGCTGCATATTACCCTAAGTCCTGTAAGAAATTCTGAAATGTTCAGAATTTGGCTTTCAAAACATCAAGGTCTTCCAAGCTGCCCGCTGAGCCTGTGGAATTGTATTTTTCATTTACCATTAATGTTTAGTGTCCTTCCCACAAGCAGATGCAGTAGGATGTGTTATGAGATGTTTGAGATGATGGCCATGGCTGCACAGTGCAGACTCCTTGCAGTTTTTCTCACGTGCCTCAATGCCTGTAAATCTGTCTCAATAATTTGTGGTGTTTTTGCAGTAGAAACAAGGGAAAAATGGTCTGTTCAGTGGTTTTCTGAATTGCCTCATGAAACAGTTGTACAATGGCATAAACATATTCATTTGGAGCCTGTCCTTTGTAACCAGAGCTTCATAATGGAATAATTATGGGCAGGTCTTTACTGCCAACATTTCCCAAAAGGCTCACATGTTCAGTTCAGAATTTTTGCTTTCAGTTCTATGACCTTCTGATAAAAGATTAAATTTTCTGTTGTATGAGAAATTTTCCTTTTGCTTTAGCTGGGCCAAAATACCCTATCTTTCCCCAAGCCAAGATGCTAAGTTTTTTTTCTGAAAATATGGGCCTTCAGCTATTAAGGCCTTCAAAATATGCAGATGATAAATGACATGTCCTGGATGTATGTGTGAAAAAAATATGTTAATAGATATTACTTCCTCCAGAGAAAATAATCTGATATGCTATAAATCTGTCTGCAGGTACATGAAAGTGGTGGAAGCTTTGCCAACATATGGAGTTCATTACTATGGAGTAAAGGTCAGTAACTGACTACAGATAATGTGATTGCTGAGCTTATTATGAGGGATTGCATTCCTAAAGGAGCAGTTGCATGATTCAGTGCCCTTCTATCAGTATGGAACCCCACATTTTTCAACCTCTGTAATTTTTCCCCATTCAATGTACTTTAAAAATTGTTTCCAGACAGCAGAAAGGAATCTTTGTAAAACCTTTATGTAATCCTATCAGCAGCTAAATTCCTATCATCTTAATTAAACTGGATATCACTTCTAGACTTGAAGCAGCTAATAGTTTCCCCAGAGACATTAATCAAGATTAGAAAAATAGAATGTGGAAAGGACTCCTCCTAAGTGGCAGGTGATTAGTGGTGCGTGCTTGGAGTGGGGAGACGCTGAGAAATACTTTTGGAGAGTGATGGAAATACCCCATTTATTCCCACTTGTAGAGCAGAGCCGGGGCCAGAGTGCTTTGTGCAGAAGAGCTCAGCAGAGATGATGTCTCCTTGCTTTTGAGTCATGGCCATGACTGTGGTACCTGAGAAGCTGCTGTTTTGTGCTGGTGTCTCCTCCTGTGGCTGCCCATGCCTGAATTTAGTGGTATTGGCAGTCATTGGCCACAGTTTTTCCCTGTCCCCTGTCCTTCCCCTTCACAGCCACTCCTCCAGCAGTGACACCCTCTTGTTCCAGCAGCACTCTTGCTTTTCTGCCCACGTTGCTCAGCCACCGCCTGGGTTTGTGCCTCTGGGAGAAAGTTTCCACCTTCACCTCAATTTGTTTGCCAGAAAAATCCTTGCTCTGTACCTACTTGTGCTTGTCACAGAGTGAAAAGGGCTCTAATCCTGGAATTGCCTCATTCTTAAGTAGCTCTTGGTTGACGTAGACGTTCCCTTTTTCAGGATAAACAAGGAATCCCGTGGTGGCTTGGAATAAGTTACAAAGGAATCGGCCAGTATGACTTACAAGACAAAGTGAAGCCCAGAAAAGTAAGTTTTTTTGCATCTGATTTTTTTTTGTAGGGGGAACATGGTGTGGTGTTGCATGTCAGGATTTACTCTTTTAAGCTGTTGCTTATTAGAGTGGTGGGCAAAAGACCAAAGGCTGGAGGCAGAAGGAGAGTTCTGCTGGCACTGAGGCAGTAAATCTCTGCCTCTCCTAGGTAGTGGAAACTCCCTTTGGGAGCTTTGGCTTGTGTGTCTTGAGTTTGGTGGTCTCAGGATGGGGATTTTGGCAGCCCCCAGGGATAACTACAGAAATATGAGGCAGTTGTGTTTCTGCAAGGCCTTGTGCTCGGGCAGTGTTTTCACTTCACTTTTGTAGGTGGGGTTTTTTCTGTGCATGGAACATAAAAGGCTCCGCTGATACAGGCAGAATACGAGAGGAACTGTGTGAAATTGAAGGCTTGTTGAAGTGTGTGCTTCCATAAATTCTAAGGGGAAATTGAGAATAAATGCCAAGCACTGGAGTTCATTCTTCTCTTTTTCCAACCCACTGCTTCCCAGAGTGTCTTCACTGAAACATCTAAGCCATGAGGGGATGGAGACCTGGGAGTTTGCTGTTCTTTCCCCAGGAATGATCTGGGCAGGAGTTCACATGAAGCTGTGCTCCCCGCCAGGGAATTTTTACATTTGCAAAATGATATTGTTTAGTGTATTGGTGCCAAAAAGCACAGCTTAACAAAACTTCCTTGTTAAAGAGTGATCCCCCCCTTCAAGCTTCCAACTTGATCTTGTCTTTTTCCAGAGCAGGCTATGACTTGGTTTTTTTTGGTGTATTTATGTACCTTTGTGTCCAAGGGTGAGCTCTCATGTCCTCCTTCACTTTGTGTAGTAAAATACAGAATTTTATCCCAGATGTCTCTTCCCATGCCTGCACTAAAAGACACAGGAGGAACCCTCTGTAAATCAAATCAACTTGAAGCTATTGAATGTCAAAGGAGAGCATCAAGGAGGTCCTCTTGCCCTTAAGCACTTCCCTGATTTTAGGCAACATCCATAAGATTTTCCAGCCAGGAAAAGTTCATTCTGCAGCCAAGATGTCCAGCTGTGACCAGCAATGCTCTCCAAGAAAATGGAGCCTGCCTGGCTGAAAGCATTGCTTCGCCAAGCATTTCTTATGCTTGTGGGATTTCAGTTTACAACATCAACCAGGCAGATTAAGAAAATTTTTTAAGGTCAGCAGGGCCCAGATACCAAGTCACACCCTGCTACAGTTAGTTACGAGGCGTTGCCTTTGAATGCAGCAGGAGTTGTGCTTAAAAAAAATAAAATAAAAACCAGAGGTCATCTCTGCAGCAGAAGCATGACAATGGAAATGAGAATAGTTGTTGGCTCCACTGAAATTATAATTATACCACAGAGCATAGAGATTTAAAGGGGAGAGAGAGGAGCCTAAATGCAGGTGGAAGGTTTAATTACAGTAAGCTCATTGAAACTGTGGGGATGGATATGGCTGTAGTGTCCTTAAGGATTTTCCTGGTGTCAGTGCAAAGGGACAAAAATGATGTAAGCCACAGCTTGTCCTGAGCCATGGTTGCCTTTAACAAGTGGGTAAATATACAAACAGTTTCTTTATATGAAAAATGTTTCAGGGTTTAAAAATACAAAGAGCACTTTAGGTAAGTGATTGGAATTGGATCACTTCTGGGAGGAAAAGCAGACATCAGGTCTAGAGGGGCACCCACACTCGGACTTGGGTTTGGAGTTAAAATGCTGAGATACTGCTGCTTATTTCAGTGTAGCTACAGCCCTGCTGCCTGTGATGCAGCAAGCAGAAATTCCTTTTAATCAGTGTTGTTGTTCGTTCATATTTATGAATGTACCAGAATTTATTTCAGAGAGAGAAGAGTATGGACAGCTTGCCTGAATCTCCCAGGAGTCTCTCTGGAGCAGTAGGCAGGAGGGGAATAGGCATGTGAACTATTCCTGTCTTTTGGAGCAGCAGTGCTAGTTTTGCTGGATTTAGCAGAATTTTCTTGCTTTGCTTTTTGGGAACGGAGCCAAACTCACAACTGCCGTGTGCTGGTGTTATCCAGCTGTTTATACCATGGATCAAAACTGCTGTTGTGTTTATCCCCAGCCATCTGGGAAAGAGCATCCTCATTGTGCTCCCCTTCTCCTTTTGGTGATGTTTAAATATACATGCAGCTGATAGATAAATAGAGAATAATAAGATGGAAAGGCTGAGTCCAAGTCTAATGAAAACCAAGTTGGCCTTCCTGAGTTTTAAAGCTACAGGGGATCTCTGGGTGTGCAAACCCCTCTGACACTGGTTGTGGTGGGAAAGCTGCAGCATTTTGGATGGGAGGCTTTTTTAATAGGAATTGGTGCCTGTGCTGCAGTGTATTCACACCAGGGAGATTTATTCTGCTCCCTGTCTTTTCTGCAGTGCTCTCAGGTGTGTTTGCTTCACCGCAGAATCACAGGCATCCTGCAAGAGCCAAGTCCATATTTAGAATAAAATTTTACTATTAATAATAGAAATAAAATCTACATTAGTTGCACCCATTAATGGAGGCTCAGTTAAATCCAAAGAAACATAACCACCCTTTTAAAAAAGTGAAATCCTTTGGCTTTATCCAAGTAGGTCTTGAGGCCAAGACACCTAAATCTGAGCCTTGGAGCGTAGTGGTTATCCCAAGGTTTTGTTATTGGATCAACACCAGTGCATGGAGTCCAAGGTTGAGAGCTGCTCACAGGAAGGAACTTGCAGGAGAGGCCTGGGTGAAGCAATCCCCAGATCCCTATCAGCCAGGGCTGAGGGGAGCCCAGTGTGTGACTCGGGGCCGGACCTGGAGAACCTGCCCTGGCTGTCTGTCTGTCTGTCTGTGCACGGCTGGCTGGGGAGGTTTGGCTCCAGCTATTAATATTCTGCTGGCTGACCTGAGATGGTTTGGACAAGGGAGTTTTGTTGCTCCAAGTCACTCCTGGGAGGTTGTGTTGCTTTGGGAGCAGGTTCTAGAAAAGCCCAAGTGTTCCCCATCACCCAGGAGTGCCAGCTGAGGCACTGAGGGAAGCGCTGGGCTCCAGGTCTGTAAAATACTGAAAAGGGAGAATTATTTTGTGTGTCATTTATGAAAATTGTCTTTGTAGATAAAAGCAGTGGCTCCACGCTGGCTGGAGGTTATACTGAGCTCACTTGATTATCATCCTGAAGTCTCACAGGGCATTAAAACAGACTGGATTTGGCAACCCTTGTTCAGATTTGAGCTCAGACCTGGGATTAGCTCTGCAGTCCTGCTGCTTTGCAAACATATTCTCATTCAGTTGCAGTTAATATTGAGAGTCACCTCCTGCTTGGAGAAGTGCCTCTGCTTGCTGTGAGGTGGCATGCCAAGATCCTGTCCCCAGCATCCTCTGAATCAATTAGGAAAAGTATAAAACAGGTCCCAGGACTTGGTTTGTCATTTCAAGCCAGAGTAGATCTCCCTTTATCTCCACCCCATTCTTCTCACTGGTGAGATAAACAATGTAAGTCTTGTTAATGGAGGGTGTATTAAGGCATGAGTGGAGTTTATTCTGCGTTCAGCCAATATGTGAGGATCCTCTGAGGGCTGGAGAAGGCAGCTTGCTGGCTCTCTGACTTGTTCTCCCACTTCATTGTGTTTCTGTGGGCGACTCCCTCGTGATAAATTAACTCTGTTATCTGAAGAGAAGAACTAATCTTGCTGTGGTATTGTGTCAAATGTCCAAGAATATAATTTCTACTGCCTGATGTCTTGACTGCATTGTGTTTTCAGAAGTGTTTTTATTAGCATGTACTCGTTTTGAAATGATGGGGTATGTTGAACATAGGATGGTGTGGGCCGGAAGGAACCTGAAAGATCATCTCATTTCAACCCCCCTGCCATGGCAGGGACACCTTCCACTGTCCCAGGGTGCTCCAAACCCCATCCAACCTGGCCTTGGACACTCCCAGGGATCCTGTGCCAGTGCCTCATCACCTTCACAATATCCCTGGCTGGATTTAATACTTTGGGGGCTTTAGCTTTCCAAACCAGACCCCTGGCTGCTCAGACAATTTCTCTGTATTTCTCCCACCCTCTTTGGGGGTCTTTTGGGTGACTGAGTTTGTCCAGGAGCTCTGTGTTCATCCTTGCAAGCGTCCTGACACTTTTTCGTTACTTTCTCTTTGTTGGGATGCATTGTTCCTGAGCTGTGAGGAGGAGGTATTATGATACTTCTTTCTTAAATGAACATATACTAAGAGTTGATGCTGAAAGTTTTCCCTTGCAGAACATTGACTTCATGTAAATTTGCTGTCCTGCTTTGCTGAATAGTTCAGAACACAGCAGCATTGGAACAGCCTTCTCAGCAGGCAGCTCTAATTAGGCAGAGATTTCTTTTATGGTGTTTATTTCTCACCAAGCCATTGATTTAGATAGAAGATACTAAGCTCACATAATTACTTAAAAAAAACACAGAGGTTTTATGAGGCTGCTCTGAAATTCAGCTCTTTCCAGATGTGCAAAAAGTTGCTTGAACGTCACCTGCTGCAAAACACAAATGTTTTGGGGTATTTTGATGTTGAGACATCTCTCAGTCTTGTGATGCCAGTGCTAGTGAAGACCAGACACAAAAGCATCATAAGGAATTAAAATACATGACTGAAAAGGTTTTTAGAGGACTGGTTTAATATTTAAGGGATGAAGGATGCCTGCAGGTGAGCTCTGCCGGGCTGTGCTGGCACAGGAGGGAGTTGCCTGCCTCCTTCCCTCAGAAGTTGCTGCAGGTGGGGCAGTTTGGCTCTGCTGCCATCCCTCAGGTGCCTCTCTCCACGGGCAGGCAGAGCAGCAGTGGGACCCAGGATTCCAGCTGCAGGCAGGGTGCCAGACAGCTGAGAGCAGCAGAGGGGCTGAAGCACAGCCTGTGCTGCCAGGGTGGTAATTTCCCTCCTCGGGTGGGGTGCATTCCTGTGGGCAGAAATCTTTTATGTTTCCTTGCTCTGAATTGCCAGATTTGTCTGCAGATTGCTGTTCCCAGCCAGTTCCTGAGGTGCTGCGTGCTGGGCACCGCATGTACCACGAGGTGCTTTGGAAGTGCTTCCCGAGGGAAAGGCTGCTAAAAACTCTGTGCCATGGCTTGCACTTCATGCTGACCTTAACCTAAGACCCTTTGGGTGGAAAACCTGAGATTTGGGTCATTTAGCTCTTGGTCAGAATTTGTCACTAACCTTGGGAACAGTTCTGGCGCAGTGGGCTGGTGCAGCAGCTTGTGGCCACACAGCCCCTGCGCTGAGCTGCTCTCCACATTTACACCTCGGTGCAAAAAGAAACTTTGTAAAAAAAATACTAAAATATTGTTTTGTAAACAAAATCCATCAGGCTCACAGTGATACTGAGCCAGGAGCCTGAGCAGCTCTTTGGGCAGGGTCTCTGGCAGCTCCTGCAATCCTGACAGGGCCGTTCTTCTGAGCCAGTTTGCTCCTGCTGTCAGGCCAGGACAAACCTGCATTTTATTCAAAACTGAATACCAGATCAGCCAGGTGAAAAACCAGCTGCTGCTTTTAAGGTGTTTCAGCACTTAGCCCTGCCATGTGTCTTTGGGCTGCCTTAACTATTATGGTTCTTTTTGCGCAAGAAGGACAGCAATTCCTTTTTCCATGCTCCCTGGTATCTGGAATTGAATCCCAGCAGAAATACAGGGAAGCCTGAACTCGTGGGCTGGAGAAGCAGCAGCTGGGTGGGTGGTAGGAGTCTGGCTGGTGCACAGAGGTGCCTGGGCAATGAGATGTGATCAGAGCTGCACCTCCGCCTTCTACCAAAAAAAAAAAATATCAGAAAAACAACCTTGACCAGGCCAAGTTTTACTCAGAGTCAGAGCCCCTGGGATGCTCAGTAGTTTTCAGGAGCATTTAAGGATCTGACAACCTACATGGATGGGGAAGGCTATTAAGAAAACATTAATTAGCTCAGGTGGACTTAATCATCTGGTTAAAGGGAACATACATTGCAAAACTTCCACAAAAACATTTTAATTATTCCTAATTGTTCTTCCAGCCCTCAAAAACCAGTTCCAGATTTCCAGATTTTTTTTTTTACCACTCTTTTGTCTTTAAATATGCATTTAGTTTAGGTAAGATTGAAATTAGGAATTATTTAGGAACATGTCTGTACAGGATAGAGAGTATTTGAAGGGAGCAGGATATCTCTGGAGCACTGACGGTTTCCTGAGTGTTGCCTTTTGACCATGAGTTAGAAAAATTTCAGTTGAAGAAAGTTTATTACTTTATTGCTTTGTCCTTATTTGTACTGAGTCCGTTTTTTCCCCTCTTGCCTTTCACGAATCTAAGTGTGTTAGGCAGGAAAGTGTAATACTTTATTCAGGATTATTTTTATTTGCATCTGTATAAATATTACTGGCTCACAACTTACCTAAAGCCGTTCATTTAATCACCAGCCTTTTTTTAACAAGGACCTGATTTAGGAGGGTTTGTCAGATGAGGTGATAGCTAAGGAGCTTATATTGCTCTTAAGTGAGATAGTCTGAGGACAGGGCACTTTTTAGTCCTCAGGAGCAAAGATGTGTCTTGGGTACAATTTCTATGCCTGGGATGTGAGCAGCAGAGGGGGGAGCTGCAGTTATCCCAGACTTTGTGCGAGGAGGCAGAGATGTCTTTGTGCTGAATGTACCCCGCTGTGAATGCTTGGGGCGCCCGTCAGCTCCTTTTGGGCTGGGATGGATCTCACAGGGTGGGGAGGAAATGGAGCAAAGCTCTACCCACATCCTGAGGCAGTTCCATGCAGGTTTTCTTAAAAATGCAAACGCCTTTTTTTTTTTTTTTTCCCCTCGGCACTGGAAGTGATCCTGGTGTCACATTAGCACAGACCCCCGTGTCCCTCTGTCCCTCTGCCAGGGCAGGAGGCTGCTCCAGCTCCCGGGGCTGTTCCATTTTGCCCTCCTGCCAAACGCGCCCCTCCTCACCTTGGGACAGGTGCTCCGTTTTCCCGCAACCCTTTGGAACGCCGAGCGCATCCGGAGAGGGGGAAAACCCCAAAGGAAGTGATAAAAAGGGGACGGGGAATCATCTCCCGCCACGATAAGAGGCAGTTTTTTCTGCAGAGGTCATGTTTGAAGCACGCCCATGGCTTTTACGGGCGTGGGAGCGGCGGCCGGGATGATGCTGCTGGTGGAACCTGCTGCTGCCCTGGGTGTGAGTCAGGGCTGCCGGGGCAGGACGCGGCTCCGCGGGGACCCCGGGCAGCCCCCACGGCCCTGGGGCCCACAGGCACCCGGGGGGACTCCCAGGGGTGCAGCCCCCCGGTGGAATCCTCGTTGTTCGCTCGCTGTTGGGTTTTTTTCCCTGGATCTGGGGAACAGCGGGGTGTGGGCGGCGCGGAGCGGGTGGGCCGTGATGTCAGGCGTGTGTCAGCGCTGGGAGGCGAGGCTGCCGCAGCACAGCGGCGGGACGGACGGACAGACAGACAGACAGCACGGCTGTGCCCTGCCCGTGCCAGCCCTGGCACTGCCCGGCGGGGCCGGGGAGCCGCGATCGGGATCGGGGCTGCGGGCAGGTGAGTGCGGGACGCGGGGGGCTGTGCCGGGATCCGGCTGGGATCGGCACCCACGGGCACCTATTGCTCAGTGTCCTGGCACATTGCTCGGGTTGTTTCCTTTGGCGTTTTTGTAAATGTATTTATTTTCATGCGGCCAGGTGAGTGCGGGACGCGGGGAGCAATACCAGGATCCCGGCAGGGATCGGCCCTCACGGGCACCTATTGCTCAATGTTCTGTCACACTGCTCGGGTTGTTTCCTCTCGCGTTTGTGTAAATGTATTTATTTTCATGCGGCCAGGTGAGTGCGGGGAACAGCCAGAGCTGTGCTGGGATCCCGGCTGGGATCAGCCCTCACGGGCACCTATTGCTCAATGTCCTGGCAGACTGCTCGGGTTGTTTCCTTTGGCGTTTTTGTAAATGTATTTATTTTCAAAGTTCACGCGGAGTTGTAAAGAGGCGTTTCTGACAGCGCTGTGGCTGGGCAGGAGTGTGTGAGACAAACATAAACTTATTTAAGCAGTAGAGGGAAACTTCCACAACCATTGAGAAAATAACTTATTAATTCTAGTAAATCGCATTTCCACTTGACTTTGCTTTTTCTGTGGCAGGTTCTAATAGGCAGTTGTATTCCTAGGAAAGTTTTAATTAAACAGAGGGAAAGGCTGCTGAAAGAGCCACTTTTCCCCTGAAACACCAATGTGCTGGGCTATGTTTCATGGTGTTAGAAATGCTTCAGATGCATCACAGCCTGATGCATCATTTATTTACAAAACCTGAAGTGTTTCTGTAGTGGGAGCTAGCATGGAATGTCAGGTTTTGGCAAGGCCAGCGGGGATGCTGTGTGTCCTGGGGGTTTCTGGTGTGGCGTTTGCACCTTTGGATGCTTTGGAGAAGCTCCAGTGGGGGAAGGAGGGAGCTGCTGTGAGGGCCTTGGCTGGATCCCTGGTGTCCAGGGCTGATCTCTCATTAACCCTGTCCCTGCCTGCCCAGCTGGGTGGAAGCACCCCCAGTGTCTCCGTGTGAGCAGCTGATGTGAACTCCATCATGCTGCTGCACCTGTGTGCCCCTCATGGTCAGGGGGACATCCCTGGGGACACCATGGGGGTCACATCCAGGCACTGCTGGAGAAGGGGGCAGGAGGTGCTGCTGCCCAAACCTGCGAGGCCGGGCTGGGAAATGCAGCCCCTGGTGGCTCATCCATCCCCAGGGGGATCAGCAGGGCTGGTGCTGCTGCTGCGAAAGGAGAGCGAATTCAGATGAAATTCTGATCCCATGGGTGCAGCTGCCAAGCCCCAACTGGCTTTGATCTCTTCTCCCAGCTGGCACTTTGCAGGAAATACGTGGGTTTCTAGCAGGAGGATGTGCTGGGGGTGGCTTCCTCCTGTAGCTGCTGTTGTTCTGTACATGCTGTACCTCTGCTCCAAAATGTCACGCTGGATGTCTCACAGAGTGTCTTCACAAGAAAAAACTTTGGTTTTTCCAAGCTGCTGCCATTCCCTGGGGATGTTCTGACTAGGGAAGTAGACCATAGTTGTCTATACAATTACTTTGTAAAGAGATTTTTGCGTTTAATCAGAGAGAAAATTACTTTAGCTGCCCTGCCAAGATCTCTGGGAACTTCTAGCAGTGAAATTAAATGTGCTATTGATGGAGGCAGATGTTGTCACTGGCAAAATCCTCAATTTGCAACACATTGTCTGTAAGAGTGTGAAATTACTGAGGGGGCATCCTATACTTACGTGCTTCTTTTAATTGATGTTATGAATGTAGTTACTGCTCAGTCCATGCCGTAGCTGAAGATACGCAGGAATTGTAATTTGCTGAAATGATATCACCTTGGGGTGAGAGGTTTGGAGATTTAGTGACCGTGTTCTGCTTCTCTCTCCCAATTCTCGCAGCTATTTCAATGGAAGCAGCTGGAAAATCTGTATTTCCGTGAGAAGAAGTTTGCTGTGGAGGTGCACGATCCCCGCAGGTGAGCCTGAGGAGGTTCTGCCATCGGGGTTCATCTTTGCCCACCATCATCACCTGTTGGTGGATGGGGTGGGCGGTGCCTCAGAGCTGACCCCTGAGTTTCCTCTGGGCTTTGGGATTGATCCTGATCCAGCTTTTGGTGGGGCAGACTGGGGCTGTCACAGCTCTGAGTGTCCTCTCAGATCCCTGTGTGTCCATTCTGGGAGTTGCAGGAGGAGGACTGTTTGTCACGGCCAAATCTGCAGCAGCACTGGGTGATGGGATGAAGGAAATCTGAGTTTTTGCTTCCCTGAAATAAAGGCTGAGCCTCATCTGTTTGAGAGAGAGGCATTGTGGACTTTAAACCTCAAAGACCTGTCTTGAAATGGCATATCTTTTCACCTCCTCAGGATTTCAGTGTCAAGAAGGACCTTTGGTCAGAGTGGGCTGGTGGTGCAGACCTGGTATGCAAACACTTCCCTGATCAAGTCCATCTGGGTGATGGCAATCAGTCAGCACCAGTTTTACTTGGACAGGAAGCAAAGCAAAGTAAGTTATGAGGCATTTTACTGCAAGCATGAGTTTCAACACCTTTCAGCATGTGTTTTTCCACGGGTGAACTACTCTCCAGAGAAAAACTGCAGATTGGTTTTGTCAGCTTTTTGAGCAGTTTCTTAGTGCTGGTATTGGTATTCAGTCCATTTTAGCCTGCCTGCAGTTAAGGCCTGTGGAAGTGTAATCATGGAAGAGGGAATTCCCATGTCTGGGTGCTTAATCTGCCTTTTCTTTTGTCTCCTTTCCTGTGTTTGTTTTGAAAGCTGCAGAGATTTGGAGCTGGGAGATGGTTCAGGTTTTTGGGGAAAGGGGAAGAGAATGCCAAACAGCCCTTGAATACCACAAGCACCTGTGTGATGCTGTTGCTTTAGCCCTTAATTTTGTGGGAGATGATGTGTGAAATGTCATCTTCTGTGATGTGTTCTGAAGTTAATTAGAGGTAACTCAATGAGGCTGTTGGGTTTTTTTTAACTCCTTCAGGCAAAAATTCCGTCAGCCAGAAGTTTGGATGATATCGCCATGGATCTGACAGAGATGGGAACTCCAAAAGTGTCAAAGCTGGTGACTTTGGAGGCCAAGAACCAGCTTATCATGGCCAGCAATGGCAGTTTGATCTCATCAGGTAACACTGCACATAAATGTGAAGTAGCCAGGTTTAATGGGGTTTGTTTGTAAAAAGGGAAATGAGACCACCAGCCCATTAAAATGGCCTTTACCTGGAAATCCTCTGATAACACCATGTGTTTTCCAGGCTCTCAGGACTCAGAGGTCAGTGAAGAACAAAAGAAGGAGAAAATTATGGAACTGAAGAAGAAAGAGAAACTCCTTCAGGAGAAACTCCTTCAGAAGGTTGAGGAGCTGAAGAAAATCTGCCTGCGCGAGGCGGTGAGAGAGCTGCACCCCACCCTGGGCTCGGGCAGGTGGGAGCCCTTTCCTCCCCCTGGGCCTCACCTGGAGCCCTGTGTGTTGTCCCCCACCAGGAGCTGACAGGGAAGATGCCCAAGGAGTATCCCCTGGGGGCAGGGGAGGAGCCTCCCCAGGTGAGGAGGCGCGTGGGCACCGCGTTCAAGCTGGACGACAACCTGCTCCCCAGCGAGGAGGTGAGCGCGGCACCTTGTGTGCACACAGGGCTGGGCTGCCCACACCGCTCCAAAGCCCTTGGAGATCGTCCAGCTCTTCCCTAGGGGTTTAAGGGGAGGCAGCTGGGGCAGTTGTTTGCGTGGAGTGGGAAATTGTTTGCGTGGAGTGGGAAACTTTGGTGGGTTCTGGCGTTTTTCAGCCACGCGGTGAACTGAGCAGGAAATCGGCTGTTGCTAAAGGCCTGAAGTTCACCCAGCCTGAATCCCTGCATGAATTTTAATGGATGTTTTGCTGCTAATTAGAGAAGATCAGGTGCATAATGCCGTTTGGCAGCCCGTGGCATTTCTGGAGCCTTGATTTGTGTCATGTTGGGATGGTGTTTGAACCCAGAACGTGGCAAGGGTGTGCTCTGTCCCCCTTGCAAAATCATCTGTGAGCATAGTTCTGTGACAGGTGACAGGAGGAGGAGTTTTATCTGTGGCTTAATGGAGGTTCCACCTCAGTAAAACCTCCCTGCATTGCTCAAGAGGCTAAAATGGACTTTGCTAGCAGGGACTGACTCGAGTGATAGGGTAATTCAGATGTTTGCAGTTTCTGGACACACTCCATTCCCCCTCATTCCTTGTGAGATTTGTTAACAAGCTGTATCATCCAAATAAGTAGGTGTTGGGCACTTGGCATCTGTCCTTCACCAGAAACTCACTGCCCTGCCTCTCAGGGCTGGTGTGCTCCTTGTCTGCAGCAAAGTGATTTTGTGGACTGCTTAAATGCTATTAAACCAAAATCCTGCTGACCAGATTTAATAACCTGTTGCTTAGCACTTCTGCAGTGCCTTTCATCTGAGCTTCTCAAAGTAGTTTACAAACAATTAATTAAAGCCTGAAACTCCCTCTTACGTAGGTATGGTGATACCAATTTCCATTTTTACATTCTCTGAAGTAGGGAGAGCTTTTGAGTGATGTTTGCCGGGTTGGACTCATAGCAGGAGGTTTAGCAGCCTAAACCTGCATTTAAGAGTATGTGTTATGTCACCTGGGCTTCAGAACTTTGGACCTTGCCCATGAGATCTCAAAACTGTACTCTAGTCAGAAATAAGATCTCAGACTTTCATACGCTGAGATTGTCTTGTGTATGAACTTTGCTATTTCTGCATTTTGTGCTCAAAATTTCACTTAATCACCACAAAAATAGACATTTTTATTAATGACTTTCATTGATAATTTCTCTTTGGAGTACAAGCAAATAACCTCTTTCATGGATTTGCAGGATCCTACTTTGCAGGACTTGGAGAGCAATTTTATCATACACCAAAAGCTGGTAGAAGCTGCAAAGAAACTTGCCAGCGAGCCAGACCTCTGCAAAAATGTGAAGAAGAAAAGAAAACAAGAGTATGCTGATGCTGTAAAAAAGCTGCAAGAGATAGAAAACTCCATAAATGAATACAGAATCAAGTGTGGCAAAAAACCAACCCAGAAATCAACTCTGGCTCTACCAGGTGAGGGAATTCCCCATGTTCTGATGCAAACAGGAGGGGAAAAGAGCAATTTGGCTTACTTAGAAACTTTGTGTACGTTTTTTCTGTATGGTTTTTATCTTCTCCAAGGCAGTTAAATAAGAAAAAAAATGAAACTGCTGCATGTGATACACTCGGTGCACTGGTGTAGGCTGGGGGCAGAGTGGCCACAGTTTTAGGAGCAAGGCATGTTCCAGCAGCAGGTGTGGGCTGAAGGTGCTGTGCACAGAAAGGCTCCAGCAGCACCTTGGGTGAAGCTTTTCTGATGCCTGAATTCCTGGTGGGATGAGGATGAGTGCAGTTGTGCATCTGAGCTGCCACATGGAACATCTCTGCCATCCCTCCCGTGGTGCTGCAGTTCCAGCAGAATCAGTGCAGGCAGGGTGTTCTGGAGGATGGAGGACATTGCTTCTTGATTCAAAATTCCTCCTTTCCCACAAAACTTCAGGAGTTTATGAATGCAATGAGTAGCAAACAGATTTTTTTACTAAACCCAATTGCCACTGATGAGCACAGCAAAAGCAGATACTCCTGGCCCCTCCCTTCTTAGTGTGTTTCTCCTAAGGGAAGTGAGATTCTTGCTGCTTTGTTGATAATGTGTGAAAACCTGTTGGTATCCAAGCCAGCTGAAGGAGTTTTGGATCCTTCCCCCTGACACACCACAGCATCACTGGGCTATCCATCATCACAAATGATTATTCTGAAAGGCTGATGATCAGCATTTAATGTGGCCCAGCTTGTTCCTGATTGACAGAGGGGAGGGAGACATCTGTTTTTCCAGTCCCTTGCTCACCAGTGTGGATAGTGATTGTGGAAGGTCCTGTATTTCCTGGGCACCTGGTGTGTGGCAATGACCAGGAAGGCTGGTGAGCAGAGATCCATCCATCCATTGTTGTTGTTGGGTGCCACTGTTGTTGTTGGCAGTGTTTTTCTCTGCTGTCCAAGCCAGCAATAAGCACTGCATTCCCTTCCAGTGCCAGGCTCTCAGCCTGCAGTGTGTGTTTGTTTACCTGGAGCAGAGCTGTGCCCTGCTCAGTAATTGATTTTGTGTGTAACCTTGTCACCATCTCCAGCAGTGCTCTCGGGCTCCAGGTCTGGGTTTCAGGAGGCTGAGCAGTGATGAGTCACTCGAGTCTGTGAGTTCAGGGAATTACTTGTTGCAAGTAATATGTTAAACAGTCCCACTGATTTATTGAACCAAACCATAGCTGTTTCCAGCCCCAAGGGATAGGAGGTGAAGGACATACTGGACTGCTTTCCGTGTTCCACTTTCTCTTCCCTTTCCTCCCTCTCTAGCCCAGAGTTTCTTCCTCCTTTGCAGGGAGTTTCACAGACCTGGGATTTCAATTCAGATATGTCACCATATCTGAGGATGTCAGCACTGCACACCCCCCTGAACCCAGCCCTGTAGCTTTAGGCTGGCTTTTTTCTTTCCCTCAGCAGCCTTTGTTCCTCCCCACTCTGGGCCCACTTCCACGTTTTACCACCCTGTGGTCAAACCCACATTAATCAGCTCCCCTGGAGCTGTTTCCCAGTGTCAGGTTGCAAGCAGAGCTGCAGCCCATCCTCGGTGGTCTGACACGTCCCCCCAGGGCAGGGGCCAGTGCTGATTTTTGCTGGTTTTGAACAGCTGCTCTCTTTGCTGCGTTCTTGTAACCAGAGCTTTGCTGGCAGCGAGCTGTGACAGCAGCAGCAGTGCACATTGCACTGGGGGCACAGGCAGGTGTCATGCACAAAGTGGCTGCCACTCTCGTTTTTTATTGCTTCCTTTCTCCCATGCTTGAAGATTCATGGAGGTTTTTTACCCCACCAGTGCCAGAAACAGCCTAGGGATTGAGCTGTCTATGGGTTAATTATCTCTAGTTCAGCCTCATTTCTCTGCTGCTGGTGGTCTGCCCCAAACCTGAGGACAGGCTGCTTCTCATTGTGTAGCATCAAGGTGAGACAGGTACAGTCAAGTGCTGTGAATAAACAACAAAATGTAAAAAAAACCAAAAAATTAGTCCGCCCATGGAACAGTTCCTGTTTTCTGTGTTGCTGGAATTTGCAATACCTTGATAGAAATCAGTGGAACTACTCTGGATTGATCTTAGTTTAATTGAAACAGGATGTGCGTGCTGATGAAACACTCAAAAGTGAGTGCCAAATTTTAAAAGGCTTTTTTGTACCTACCTGGTGGGGTTTCAGGTGTACCTAGAGGAGATTAGCTGCTAACAGCCAAGATCTGCATGTCTGTGTAGGCTCCTGACTCCTACTGAAGCACCAAAACACCCTGTGAGATCTGTTGGAAGTGGGGTGGAAAACACCTTTGTAAATCTTGGCCTGATTCCTGCTGCAGATTAAAAAAAGAGGAAAAAAAAATCTGCTTTGATAATTACCTGGGTCGCTTGCTGAACTGCAGTGAACATACAGAGTGATGATGCACCAGGACTGTCTTTAGGCTAAAGAATAAGGATTGCAGTGTTAGAAGTATCAGCTGGCTCTGAAACTCTAGAAAATGAACTGTATTAAGTTGTTTGTAAGTTGATGTTGGCTCTTTTATGCTTAAAGTGTTTGCTTTTATTCACAGATGATATAATTCCATCCGAGAGCAGCTCCCTGTCAGACGCAACCACCTATGATGATGGTAAGATGCTTACCTTTTATTTTTCCCAATAAGTTTGTCCATTCAGAGATATTTCTTTGACTTAATGTCCTTTAGCATGTCCCACCCCTGGAAGTGTTCAAGGCCAGGCTGGACAGGGCTTTGAGCAAAGCATTTTAGAGGAAGATTTCCCTGGCCATGGCAGGGAGTTGGAATGAGATGACCTTTATGGTCCCTTCCAGTAAAAGTCATTATATTATTCTCTAATTTTGGCGGCTTTTAATGATAAATTACTTTATAGCAGAGGAAAAAATAGCTACTCAGGAATGTCCTTCCTCTTAATGGGTTAGTTTCTGAAAGGTTCTGCTCTGTCAGCTGGCCTGAGTCATCTTCAGAGAAGGAAGTTGGTTTTAACATGACCAACCTGCAAGCTGAGGACACTGTGAGTGTCAAATCCGTGTTCCTTAGGGCCTGGCCTAGAACTGAAGGACTTACAAATTGGCAGAATTAGCCCAGCCCTTCTGCCCTCACAGCCATCATAAAACTTAGAGAAAGGTGCAATAGTCACAGATACTAACGCTCTATTTACGTTTATCTGCTCCCTGGTGAGCTTGCATCTTGCATGGGTTGGTGTTTGCTCAGCTTACTCATTTCACACACACACCCACAGACACACTCACACCCTGTTCCACCAGGTGGAAAGGACTTGGCCTGCCTCTCCCTTAAACTGGATAATCATCATTTGGGGACAAACATTATCTAAATTATTACTCACTTTTCGGTTTGGGCCTGATTCTGATCTCACTTTGTCCCTGATTTAGACTTGTTCAAACCAGGTGGTGCCATAAAATGAATTTTCACCTGATTCCTGTTTGTAGAAGTGGAGCCAGGCTTGTGAAGGTGCTCTCTGTGATGCTCGTCCTGCATTTATATGTATTAGTTGGAGTTTCCTGTTGGCTCTGTCGGGACCTGGTTGTGCCCTAAGCAAAGTGAGAACAAGGATCAAACCAGCATCTTCCCAATTGCCTTCAGCCAAATGTGTCTGTCAGTTCCCTTTGCTCGTTCAGTCGCTTTTGAAGTCAGTCTCTTTCAGGTTGTGTTTCAAAACTAATTCTTAAAATGTCATTTTCAAGAGCTGGAAGCTGAGGGAGAGGAACTGGCCTTTGCAGAGGCTGAGCTTGTCTGCTTGTCTCTGGGAAGGATTGCTCTGCAAACAGATGTTTTCCCATTCTGTGATCTGGCACAGCCCCAAGCTGGGTGTAGTCTGAGTGCTGCTGGGATCTGTAGGAGCCTCCACAATGTCCTGTCTGTGTGCAGAGAGCTCAGTGCAGGCAGGAAATCTATTCTAGACCCATAACTCCTGTCGTTGTCTCTGTACTGCAAAGTGCTTCTCCTTAGGGGCCACAGATTTGCACACAGGGCACAAATATCAGGGATTTTGCTCTAACAAAGCGCCAATTCCTTTCCAACAGTCAGTGAATCACTTCCTGCAGCAGCACAGAGACCCAGCTCTGCACAGCTTTCTCCAAGGCTTCCCCCACCAAAGTCCCTTGGCGTGGAGAGAATTCACCTCCGGAAGTCATCCATAAACGAGCAGCTCTTGGAAAGCAGACACTCCAGGTAGGCAAATCCCACTGCTGCTGCGCTCTGCACCTGCTGCCATGAGCTGCTCCTGTCCCTGCTGAGCATCCCAGCAGAGCCCACTGCTCCTTGCTCTTCTGGCTTTACAGGTTTGGAGATGGGAGCTGAAGTTTCAAATTGAGCTCCCAAAAATGTGCATAAGCAGTTGACACAGTATCTCAAACCAAAGAGTAGTGTAATTTTTGTGAAGAGGTTTGAGATGGGTGAGAAATATAATAGCAAGGGTTGCATTTAAGGAGTTGCTGGTGCTGTCATTTTTTGTGTCAGTTTCTGGGTTTTTTTCAGTGTTCATTTAACAACTTGTCACTTTCCTGATGACTGTGCTTAGTGGATTCAGGCAGCACCAAACCCTACCCATCTGTCCTGATGATATCAGTGTTTCAGCAGGTACATTATCAGAGCAGACATCATTCATGTGAGGCCCGATGGAGAATTCTCTGTTTGCAAGCAGAGTTACTGGGATTCAGACAGCTCCCATCATTAGTGTCAGCTGTGTGTCCATCCCAAATTTATGGGATTTGAGCACTTTACGAGCTAGAACAGCTCCCTGGAGCACATCAAGAGCAGTAGGTTTGCAGGTGATTGTGTTGTCATGTCAGATCTGGTGCTAGCAGCTGTACCCAGTGTAAGGATTCCCACTGATGCTGAGATTTCTTGGACTGTCTTGGGTGAACAGGCTGTTAAAGACACACTTAAAAATGTTTTAGAGTTTTGAGCAATGCCATGTCTTGCTTTTTTTCCTCATCTGTCCCTCAAGACTAGTGGAACACTCCTGCATGAAGTTCAGAAGTCAAATTATAGCTATATGTACCCATGTGCTTCATTTGAAAGCCTGATTCATTTGCTGCTCTGTTACCTGCTCTGTCTCTCCTCGATGGTTCTGTCCTTTGGCAGCAGTTTGTCCTGCTGCTCATTCTGTCAACACCTCCCTTTAACCACAGGAAGGGATTGAATTTTCCTTCCTATTTACCATCTCTTTCTCACACATCCACTTACGTTTGTTCCACTGTCACTATAGGACACAAAAGAACATAAGCACACACACCACTGCTCTCAAGGTGAAGAAAAAGGAAAGTTTATTTCCAACATTTACAGTTTTCCACAAGTGACAGCGAATTGGAGGTGACAGTGCCACCTCTCCAATGACGCTGGACAAACCAACAGTCCATCGGATTTCTCCTCCATAAAAGAATGCAAAGCAATGAACTATTTACAGAAAGTGCGTGGAAAAGTTCGTTACAAGAACGTAAACATCAGAAGGCTTAGAAAATCTTAAAAAATCAGGGCGACATTCCACCCTTCCTTTTTGCTTCTCCGAGACCTCAGGTGCTGGTAGTGGGTGTGCTGTGACTTGTAGGGGGATGTTTAACCCCACTGTGTGTGTCCCCCTTGCTGCAGGGACACGCTCTCGACGCACAGCAGCCGTAGTGGGTGTGCTGTGATTTTTGGGGGATGTTTAGCCTCACTGTGTGTGCCCCCTTTGCTGCAGGGACACGCTCTCGACGCACAGCAGCCGCAGTGGGTGTGCTGTGACATGTGCTGGGATGTTTAGCCTCACTGTGTGTGCCCCCTTTGCTGCAGGGACACGCTCTCGACGCACAGCAGCCTGTTCCGCGCGCTGGAGCGGCCGGTGCCGCCGCAGGGCGGCAGGAGCATGCCCACCACCCCCGTGCTCACCAGAAACGCCTACAGCAGCAGCCACCTGCAGTAAGAGACCCCTGATTTGGGTGCCACACCTGGCTGGGGAGGCACAGGAGCGAAAGCAAACGGTGTTAAGAGGGCAGAGGGTTGATGTCTGGGCGGTTTTGCCGCGGTGGGGTATCAGTGTTTCAGCAGGTGCTTTGTCAGAGCTGACATAATTCTTGTGAGGCCTGATGGAGAGTTCCCTGTTTACTGGGATTCAGACAACTCCCATCATTAGTGTCAGCTGTGTGTCCATCCCGAATCTATGGGATTTGAGCACTTTATGAGCCAGAACAGCTTCCTGGAGTACATCAAGAGCAGTAGGTTTGCAGATGATTGTGTGGTCATGTCGTGTGTGATCATGTCAGATCTGGTGCTAGCAGCTGTACCCAGTGTAAGGATTCCCACTGCTTTCTGAATGTTGGTTGGAGGTATTACTGTGGGAAGCCAATCCATGGTGGAGAAGGAGTCATGCTAAGAATCTTAGAATGTTAGCTCAGGGTTTGTTTGGTGAGGTAATGCAGCCTTGCAGAGACAGATCAAAAGGAAACCCATCTTCCCATGTTCTGGTCCAAGCTCATTACCTGCATAGGCTTTTCCTTTTAGAAAGGAAGGGAGATGGAGAGTTTTGTTGTTTACATGATGTTTACTGATGGAGAGTTCTGTGTTTACAAGCAGAGTTACTGGGATTCAGACAGCTTCCATCGTTAGTGTTGGCTGTGTGTATCTATGGCATTTGGACACTTTGAGCTAGAACAGCTCCATGGAGCACATCAATAGCAGCAGGTTTGCAGGTGATTGAGGGAGCCCTCCCGTAAATCATTACCAAATGTGTATTTGTGACCTTAGCTCAGTGTGTCCCTGTCACAGATTAACCTTGCTCAGCCTAACAGATTATTATAAGGCAGATCTCCTGCTGTTGCAGCCAATACAAAATTCAGCCAAACTGAGTTCCGTGTGTTGCAAATACTCTGTGTGGAAACATAAGGCTGGATTTGCGTTGTGCTTGGGCTGGGGAGGCAGCTGACCTGTCCTTGCATGCTCTGAGTGTTTATTTGTGTGAGACTTGCCTTTAACCAGCCAACATCTGTGTTGCTCTAGGCCAGATGTTTCCCCACGCCACTGCCGGCAGCGCAGCGGGAGCCTGGAGTCCCAGACCCACCTGCTGTCCGAGGCTCCTGCTGACAAGCCAGCCTTCTCCCTCTGCAAGTCGCAGCGGAGCAGCAGCACAGAGATCCTGGACGACGGATCATCCTACACCAGCCAGTCCAGTGCAGAGTATTACTGCGTGACACCCACTCCCAACCCCTATTACACCACCCAGACCCTCGACAACAGGACCAGGGGCCGGAGGCGCTCCAAGAAACACAACATTTCCGCCGCGAGTTCGGGGAGCATGCCGAACCTGGCTCACAAGGACGCCCGCAGCGCCGTCTTCCACAAAAACCAGGAGCAGCCTTCCTCTAATTACTACATTCCTGGGTACTCCCCTTACACCGAGCCTGACGTTTATTACAACGGGGGGTACGTTTATGAGAGCGACACGGAGGGGCAGTACAGCGTGAACCCCTCGTACCGCTCCTCGGCGCACTACGGCTACGAGCGGTACCGGGAGTTCCGCTCCTACCACGAGGACGAGGTGGACAGAGTCCCACACAACCCCTACGCCACCCTCAGGCTCCCCAGGAAGCAGGTGGCTAAAACGGAGCACATAACCAAAAACATTCACAAGGCCTTAGTAGCAGAGCATCTCCGGGGCTGGTACCAGCGTGCCTCCAGCCAGAAGGAGCAGGGCCACGGCCTGCAGGCGGGCTTTGAGTCTGACCGAGGATCTCAGAGGAGTTTGGGCTTTGCTGCTCTGCAGACGCCGTGCTCGCCCAGCAGTCGGGTGTCGTCTTTCTCTTCGGGTAAGGTCTGATTTCATCCGTGCCCGGTGTTTTTGTAAACCCCTGCAGTGTTGTCAGCTCTGCCCCATCCCTGCCTCAGTGAAGTCAGCAGAGCTCTGTCCTCGAAGGTGGATGAGGAGCCAAGTTGGATCTTGTTCTGTTCTTGGAAGGAAAGTCTTGCTTGTTACCTTCTCCTCATGGTAAATCAGCCTTTTGCTCTTTGTGCAAGCACAGTAACCCAGAGAAGGACAAAGAGCATTTGAGTTTGACAGGTATATTTAGCAACTAGAAGCAGTGTACAAAGCTTCATGCCATGTAAATGCAGTGGCTGTGATGGCTTCCAAAATAAAGCCCAGTGAGCATCACTGAATGTGTCAGCAAGCACTTTAAGAGCTCCAGAATACCCCCTTTACAGGGCTTGTAAATCATATTTTGTGTTTGCATTGTCTGCCTGTGTCCTGCAAAACCCCATAGAAATTGCTGATGAGAATTGTCTTGTTTGCCTCAGCTGATTTAGCTGAAGAAAGGTGTAATTCGTTCTAAGAAAGGTATAATTTGTTGTAATCCTTTTTGTAATTCCAGCATCTTCTACAAACACTGCTGGGAACTGGAGAACCCCCCTTGCACTGGGACTTTCAGACTACGACACGTTGTCTCATTCCTCCTACGCCAGCTGTTACGGGAATGTTTATGGCAACCTTCCTTTGCAGAGCAGGTGAGTGGAATACGTGAAGATTTTCCTGCCCTTCCTCCTGCATGTCACTGCCTCTTAAATCTGAGCAAATCAGCTTGATTTCAAAGAGCCAGGATGAAGGGTATTTAGAAAACCGGTGTTGTGAGGGCAGTTTTCTGTTTGGATGTGTCCCCCCCCACTGCAGAGCACTTGGCTGTGAGGACAGAAAGCTCCTGCCCTGGGGAATGGCTCTGCCCCCACAAATGCCATCACATTGAAATGCACTTATGCTCAGTGTAATGAGTACCCCACGTGTGCCTCCTGCTTTGTGGGTTGCAGTTTGTGCTTGCTGCCAGACCGACTTGTGTGAAAATACTGAATTTTTAATTCTGTTTGTTTTAAAATAAATGAAAGTGTAAGGGAATACATAAAAGCTGCTGCTAGATCTTTTTTTTTCCTAAGCTAAGTGCTATGGGCTGTTTTACTGAAGTGATTTAAAATATCTATGGCAACAGTGTTTAAAAATACTGTTTCTACTAATTTTTTAATTTCTCATAATTGAACTTTGAAAATTCTGCTTGTATTAGCAGCTTTATCTAAATGAGGTTCATTAGCTATTAATTTTCCACATTCTTAATCACTTGTCTGATTGTTCATCTGCTTTATTGTCTGCTTTAATGTGATCATGGCAAACAAGCAATCAGTACACCCAACAGCCTTGACAGAGCTCAAGGCCAGGTTGGATGGGGCTTGGAGCAATGTGGTGTAGTGGAAGGTGTCCCTGCCCAGGGCAGGGATGTTGGAACAAGGTGAGCTTTAAAATCCCTCCAAGCCAAACCAGTCAGTGATACTATGACAGTTTGGAGCAGCTGGGATTGCTGTGCACATAACTTTACTGATTGCAGCCCAAAAACGGGTTTGTGCTTGGAGGCAAACTCCAAATAACCAGCATCACTCTGAGCCCAAGGGAGGCGCATGGGGAGGACCCTCAGGTGACGCTGGTGCCGTGTCTGTGTTGCAGGACCTACGTGGAGCCGAGCCAGCTGGGAGGGGACGAGGAGGATGGCCTGGAGGCAGAGCTGCCCAGCAGTGAGCAGAGGCTGTTCTGGCACGAGGACTCCAAGCCCGGGACGCTGGTGTAGCCCCCGTGCAGCCCCTCACTCACTCACTCCCTCCCTCTACCCCTGCGTGCCTTGCACAGAACGCCGCACCCGGCCTCGGGTGGAACTTTGCAAAAGGAACAAAAAGAGGAAGCAGAGGCTGTTTGTCCTGCTGGGAAAGGTGGAATTCAGCGTTCAGAGGGACTGTAGCAAACTTGACAAAGTCTTACCACGAATGGCGTCTCTTTGTGAATCCGTACGGCCACAGTTCATCTACGAGCAGCTGCAGCACTTGGTTGAAGTATTTATATTTAGCAAGCACTTTTTGGGAAGATTGGAAGGTGTTGAAGGCAAACCTCAGAGAAAAAAATAAAAAAAATGTGAAAAGGAGACTCTTATGGAAAAACCGGGAATTATAAGAGCACAAGTCTGATGTCTGAAAGAAGAAGAAAAAATGAAAATTTATTCTGCCATGGCTTATGAGGACCTGGAAGAGGTTTCATAGGCTTCATGAAGGATAGATCTGTGTGTGTGAGTGAGGCAAAGGATGACTGAATCAGTATTGGAACATTACTTGAAGGAAGGCTGGAGTTTTTTTATTATGGAGGTTTGAATGAGTCTGTCTAGTTTTTGGGGTGTTGTTAAGAGTGTTTGTTAGCACCACAAGCAAGTTCTGGAAAGAAAAAAAATTTGCTGACACATACATAATGTAAAACTAATAGCTAGTTTTGGATTTGGAAACAGAAGCAGTGAACTTTGAGTTCTCTTTTCCATGATAAAACACAATTAATTATGGCCCATTTAATGACCTTTCCATGGTACAACCTCACTGTGTGGAGGAGTAGGCAAATTTTCACCGTGGCTTCACGGTGACCCCTGTTCAGTGGTGACAGTGACAGGTTGCTGTGCCACAGTGGGTCAAGGATCCGCAGTGGGGAGCCCCAGGGACAATTTGGTAGCGGTGGCCAGTGTTCTAAGGTGGATGCAAACACAAACAGCCAAGTGGGTGCCTTAAAATGAGGGGCATTAGGATTGTACCAGGAGTCACCTGAACTGCCAGGTGCGTTGCAGAGTCACTGAGTGGCAGAACAGCCTTTTCACAGAACCATTTGTGTAGGAAAAAAACACATGGCTGCAGTCTGGATTTAAGAGGGATAAACCTACCTCAGGTCATCCATCTGTAGGAACAAACTGGCACTGAGTTATCCTGCCTGATTCCTGGTGACTCGTCTGCATATGGTAAAATCTCTCTCGTTTCTCAGCTGTACTGTGCTTCAGGATTCCAGAAATGGTGCTCTTTTGTTCTTTTATACAGAAGATTAGTTACTCCTTGTTCATATTGTGAATAGAAAGGTTTCTGATAAACTTTTTTGACGTTTTTTACCAGTATTCCAGAGCATGTAATATATACAGAAGGACACACTTGTTAAGCTGGTACTTAGTTGTTTGTATTATTAGAGTCGCAATTTGGAATTAAACGAACAAAAACAAAATAAAAAATAACTTATTTCCTTGGTTTTGCATATTTGTATAGCCTTCTAGAAATGCGAGAGCTCTTTTTGCTTATTCTTTTACTACTCCTGAATTTTTTAGACCTATTATTTTGTATAGGTCAATAAACTGAAAAGTGTGCTACCAAAACCACTTCAGCATTCCTCCTGTTTCTCCTTGAGTGCTTGGCAAAGTGCAGTGTGTGTTATTGCAGGGCTTTGAAGTAAATCACTGTGGTCTGATGTCTTTTGGCCTGTGGTGTTGGCTGGGCTGCAGAGGGTCAGTGGTCTCATCTGAAGGAAGGCTGGCCCCAGGCAGGTCAGAGATCCCAAAACATCAGAATATCAGGTCAGAATTTCTGCTTCTCCATCAGCTGTACTGAGGGAGCCAAGCTGGGCTCTCTCAGCATCCCTCCAGTGATGCAGAGACGGGGGTGTCCTTGTGTTGCTGAAAATGCTTCTTGCTCATCTGTCCTTGCACTTAGGAATTGCCTCAGCCTTTCCCAATTGGAACGTGGCTTTTAGGGTTTGTATTGCTCACCTGCTGGGTCCTGTTTGGAGTTTGTGCCCCCTGAGACACCCTCTGTCTGTAAGAGTGACTTGGGTTTCAGATGTGCAGCTGCTTCTGCACCCTGGGCACCCAGTAGCTGAGGTTATTCAGTTTTACTCTCCTCTCTTCAGAGTTGTCATTCCCTGCTTTTTGAGGTGTCCATAAACTTCACAACCACCACTGAATGTTATTCTTTTTTCCAGGTTGCTGGTGAAAATAGGTGCTTAATGATCACACCTGCAGGGTTTTTTTAAAATTATCCCCATGATGCTGTACTTTTGCATTTATCCAAGCAGCGTTTGAGGTTTGTCTGCTGGCAAGTTCTTCATGCCCTGACTGCTCCCTGCTGCTACAAACCACCAGTGCTTTGAGCAGGAAGCTGAGTGGTCCCAAGTCTCCAGTTCCTTACCCAGACCTCATGGAATCAGCACTATCAAAGCTTTTCCTGCAAAAAGGAAATGAGATGTGTAATAAGGCTTGTTCCCCGTTTAAAGCTTTGTTTGCAATCCTTTGTTTTAATGCTGCACCCACAGAGTTCTGTGTTGGTTTTTCTGACAGCATTCAGGATTTAGCTCAGCCCAGCACATCCGTGTTGGCACCAGGCTGGCACTCAGCCTGAGCTCCTGGCATGCTGGGACAGCACCAGGGTGATTTTGGGTGCAGTTGTTGAGAAAATGGGGATTTGAGGTGGGTTTGGGTTGAGGTCAGAGCCTGGTTTTGCAGTTTCCAGTTAGCAAGAGCCGAGCAGAGGAGTTGGAAATGGAACAGGGGTGGCGGAGCTGTGGCTCTCAAGCCCCTCTTGTCATTCTCCACATGCCTGGCTCTACAAGGGTTTTGTTTTTAGGAACTTCTATGAAGGGTGGAAATACAAAGTGAAGAAGGAGGCCCAGAAGAAGAGAATTAGAATGTTCAACTTCTCTCAGATGTTGCTCAGGGTCAGTCTTGGGTGGCACAGGGAGGGAAAGGGAGACCACGATGTCTCTGTGGCATCTCCTGCCTATCAGGGGAGCTGCTGCTGCACCCAGTTGTTGCCAGTTGTTCCCCAGGACCTTTAACTTTGCCCTTGGCAGATTCCCAGCTTGCTGTGTTGCGTTTCTGGAGTGATCTTTTGATGCAGATGTACAACTGTTCACAGAAACGACTGCAGCTGAGGAGGTCATAAAGACATACTTGTAATCATGATCTTATTTGTTCACAGCTGAAATACAAATTGCCTGTGCTTTGTTTGAATTCCTATCTCATCTCTGTGTAGCTGTTTAACCACAGCCTGCCTCTCCAGGATAACTGAGGACATCTAGTGCCTGACAGCAGAGTTGGAGAAAGGAGCCCTCCTGCCTCTTGTGCTCCTCTGGAATCCTTCCTGACCCTTCCAGTATGAAGAAATATCAGAAATTCTTATTTGGTAATATCAGAACAAAGCCAAGAGGCGAACAAGGTAAAACACCAAACCACAGGGTTTGATTTTACAAACATCTCTCTTTTCAGAAGGTAGATGCTGCTGATGGGAGTGTGGAGGGGAAATAAAACCCCACTTAAATCTGTGTGTAGTGGAGTGGTTTGGAGTGCTTTGAGTTAAAAAGAAGACCCAATCCTTGCCAGAAATCTTTAAAAAGGAATTTGGGCACTGAGCTAAAACAAGCCATGCCTGATATTTTTAATTACTGTCTGCTGCTTCTCTGCTGTTTTGAACAAAAACACTGAGATAAGGGAGGACAAGCACTGATGGGAGTCACCAGAGCCCTGTGGGAGGCTGGGGCTGGACATTCCTCCAGTGCAGGGACCAGGAGGGATGGGGCTCAGACCAGGAGCCCCTTCTCCAACACAGGAAAATCTTTTAACACCACTAATCTCTAAAATTCACCTGACTATACTTATGTGAAACTTTTTGGCCAAAGTCAGTATGTGACTCTTGCAGGTTTCTGCTGATTTCTCCTTTGTGATCTTGGACTTGCTCAAGTAAGTGTGAAGAATGCAGCAGCAATGTTTGTAACTCCTGGGTGGGTGAGAGGCCTCCACCATGACCCAGCCCGTCCCAAAACGTGTGTAGGAAATCCCATAAACGCTGAAGGTTTGCTCCATCTTCTGGGCTTTGGGATCATTGCAGGAGAGCTCCTCAGCCTGGGGAGAAGTTCCCTGCTCTTTTCTGGCACTGTCTGGATATGTTCACACTGCTCCTAGGGAGTTTTCTGCATTCTACACTGTTCTCCATCTCCTTTGTACTTTTCTGTCACATTTAATACATTTTTAAGGTATAAAACTGACAGTCTCAGCTACAGCAGGGACTCACCTGTCACAGATGTCTTTTCATGAAAATCCTTTCACTAGGATTTTTCCTGCTGAGAAGCTTCAGCAACAAAATGCAAACAATGGTTATCTGCTGCTGTGGAATGCAACAGGTGCACCTGTGATTGGCCCAGCTTAGATGTTTACAATTAATGGCCAACCACAGCCCAGTTAGCTTGGACTCTCTGTCCGAGACACAAACTTTTATTATTTATTCTTTTCTGTTTTTAGCTTAGCTAGCTTTCTGAGATGAAACTTCTCCTTCTGTTCTTTTTAGTATAGTTTTAATGTAATATATATATATCATAAAATAATAAATCAAGCCTTCTGAAATATGGAATCAGATCTCCATCTCTTCCCTCATCCTGAAAACCCCTGTGACCACCGTCGCACTCACCTGCTGAGTAGTGAAATCTCTCTCAGTGAAATCTCTCCCAGGGCAGGATTTACCATCAAAGTTTTTACCCTGTGCTCTGCTGGAGCACATGAAGCCTGAGGTGACATTTCCTGCTTGGAAATGGGGCAGAGTGAGTTGTGGTCAGTGCTGGTGGCCCAGGAGGACACATGGCACACAGGTCAGGGTTCCAATGACACAGAAGCAAGACTCCTGACAAGCAGCAGCTCCTTGCCATCCATCCACCTTGGTTATCCCTGCCTGTCCCCTGTGATGAAGGGCATCACCATAAATCCTTCAGCAGGTGCTTGGCTGCAGAGGGATGTGCTCTGCCTCCCTGGGCACCTCCTGCCCTGTTCAGCACACCAGGGAGGAGTCTCAGTTTCTGTTTCATCATTAGAGTGCCACCAAAGAGCTGCAGATGGAGTTTGCAGCCAGCCAGGGCTCAGCTGGAGTAACTCTAGAAGAAATCCTTGCACCTGCTGCAGCCTGAGGTTAGGGCAGGACGTGCCCCATGTGTGCAGGACGAGGTGCCCACGTG